AAGACAGTTCTCCAAAGATTGAATGGTATCAGGTATCAAAATGAAGGTAGGTAAGGTAGCACCTTCTCCTAGGATATAAGAATTCTGATATGTAAAAGCACTTTGCAAATTGCAAGTTTGTATTCTCCTTCCTCAGACTGAGAATGAATTTTTTTCAGAACCAGACATAATGTCTATTACTATAGCATTTCTACAGGCAGATTCCAGTGTGACAAGGCCTACCCTGTAAAGGCCAGTTCCCTGATCCAGCTTCTGCATAGCCAGAGTGGGATGGAAAATGAAATGTCAAGTTTCCTTTAGTTGCCTCAGATTTCTTTCCAAATTATCTAATCTACAGTACTTATTCCCAAATCCAAGTACAAGCATGAATACTGTCTCTTCCTACTGGATGGATGGATGGATGGATAGACGGACAGACAGACAGACAGACAGACAGACAGATAGATAGATAGATAGAGTGGAACCCCCAATAGCAGCAGCATTGTGCCCTGACTGCAAAATGAAACAAGGAAAGGAAAATGCAGAGGCAGCACAACACCTTACATTTTCCATTGTGTGAAGTGGGGCAAGATTGTTAGTTTTAGAACCGTGTGGTGTTTCTGCGAAGCTGTCTGCTTTAATCTAAATGCAATTGCTATAAATGCGGTTTAAAATAGAAAGTGAAAGTACACATAGTCCAAAGTTGCCGAAGGGAGGGGCCCTTTCTCAGAGAGGAAAGTGACCAAGAAATGTAGAATCTTTTAGTCTGCAGGAAGAGCAAATATACCCTAGTAGTGCACAGGGCATATCTAACAATTAGGCAGATAAGTGCTTTAGTCTGGCGAGATTTACTGTCTATGGGTGAGCAGCAGTAAAGAACTACTCTGAAGTAACTCTTCATGTCATTCTTGGTTGTTTGGGCCTGACATCAGAGGAGCTTGGGATCTCGCTCCACAGCCAAAAGAGGAAGACGGAATGGGAGAAAATGTCCAGGATCAGAGAGAAAGAGACAATCCACAGAACCAATTGCAGCCACATTATTGACATGGAAAAATGACCTTTCAAGTCATTTTTTCAAAATGTGTCAGCATTTACTCTACCTGCAGGGAGAATCTTGAAGCAGGGAAAATACATGTCAGATGGACAAGAAACTGTTTTTGAACCGCTCAGTATCGGTTGCCTTTGAAACCCAGGTGGGAGCATGGAATCAGTGGGTGGGTCATGCTTGCGTTGGCTAAGTGGAGTTTGTCTGAGAGAAGCAGGTTGAGCAAATTCATCTTTCTCAAGCAATTTAATCATTTTATTGGAGAAAAATCTGTGCCTGTGAATGGCTGCAGTGTTATCAAGAGGCAATTATAAATCAGTTCGAAAGGAATCAAAGGCACAGCACTTGCCATGAACCTTCTCTGTTTTTTTTTTTACACAAAGTAACGCCTGTCTATTTCTTTTTAAAGCTTGTTTGAAATCTGAAAAAAAATTGTATAAGACATACACACACGCACATATTGATTCTGAAAAATAATTGAAATAGACGAAACAAGATACAATCAAAAGGCTTCTTGAATTAACCTTTATTTGTTTTTGGTTTATGCCCAAATGTTTCCCTGTATAGGCATTATCAGTCTCCACCTCAGATATTTTTCCAGTAAAACTGTTGGCTTTGATCTTAAAATATCTACGACAGTGGTGGCAAACCTATGGCACAGGTGCCAGAGGCGGCACTCAGAGCCCTCTCTGTGGGCACGTGCGCCATCGCCCCAGTCCTAGGCCTTCAGCTGGGTTTTATAAAACCTTTTCGCTTTAGGCCTCCGCCACCGTGTGCAAAAAAAAAAAAGATTCAATCAGTCAATTTCAACTTCTCGTGGGGAAAAAAAAGATCTTGCAAAGTTGGAATTGATTGAACTTTTTAGTCCCACCCAGTCTGCTGTTACCACTGCAGCCACGCCCAGCCAATGGGCCATGCCCAGCCAATGGGCCACACCCACCCGGCACTCGACGATGCATAAGTGAGTTTTGGGTTGCAGTTTGGGCACTCAGTCTCTAAAAGGTTCGCCATCACTGATCTAGGAGAATAATTCCATCCACAGGAAGATTCCACTGGCAAAAGGATGGGATAATTTTAGATTTCCCCCTTTACCCTAAAATATGTCTAGTGCAATTGCAGAAATTTTTTGATAGTGGAGACAGTACTGACAACTCTGGTGGAAATAATATTTTATTTCTGTTGATAAGTTTATCCAACAGAGAGGATTCCTTTACACTTGAAGCTAACAAATTTTAAGAGTTATAGATATCCACTTCTGGTTTCTAAAATATGAAGGGAGACTGTCTTTGTGTCTCCAGCATTAACTCAATGTAAATAAATTCAGGTAGGGGCCAGAATTTCCATCACTAAGAGATGCAGCCATAAAGCGTGATGTCATGTGACCCATTAATAGTGGCAATCCCGGCACTACTTGTTGTCATTGTTAACCGAATTCCACTGGTTGTTAAGTGAGGATTCACCCAGATTCAAGCCATTCTCAGCTTGGTCCCTCCCAGCCTTGAACTTCATTAAGGCAAGTCACTGGCTTCTTTTCAACTCTTCCCCACTCTGCCCTTTGGGCCACCTTGCACTCCACTGCTTCTGCCAGCCTTACTGCCCTGCGCAGTGGTTGCCAAGTGAATGGTCATAACTTGAGGACTACCTGTAAACGATTCCACAGGATATAGTGACAGTACTTACTGAGAAGGTCAACATTGTTTTAGCACCATCCTCTTACATATGTAGAGCATCTTGTGCAGCTGAGCCCTTGACGTTCCACCCCCATTGGGAGAATTTCTGTCGTTAAGTTGTGGTTGTAAGTCAAGTCAGGCCTGTTTTTATGACAATTTTTACAATGGTAATTAACGGCAATGAAGCAAGGTCAGCCTCCCCAATGGGTAATTTTTGCGAGAAATCAGAAAAAGAGGTCGCAAATGGTAATCACATGACCACAGGATGCTGCAACCAGTCACAAATGTAAGCTGGTTGCCAAATACCTGAATTGCAATCACGTGACCACAGAGGTGGTGCGATGGTCATAAATGTGTCATTCCCACCCCCCAAGGATGGCATAATTTTGAACCATTATTAAAAGTGGTAGGTTGAGGACTACCTGTATTCAGAAGTTGACCTACAGTCAGCAGAAGTCATATAAAGGTTTGATCCCTGTGGATGTGATCTTTTGGCAAGTTGGAGGGCTCTTTGGTATCCAAAAAGCTTTTTTGTCCAAGAGTATTGCTTGGGAATCACAGGAAATCCATAGGTATGCTTCCATTTCCAGCATTCATTTCCATAATGATATGAAGAATGTTGTGCATCATTGTGTAATGTAAAAGTTATGGTTGATCAAATCAAAGCCTCTCCTAACCCAACATATTATTTTTCCAGTTCCTTTTGTATTCAGAATGTAAAGAAAATAGCTCTATTAGGCTTTGTGAACCACCTTGGGCTGGTTCAATGCAATTATCTGTAATACAGGTAACCCACATTTAGCTGCTTCCTTCTTTAGCAAGGGTTCAGTTATGACAGTGATAAAAAAGTAATTTTTATGACCAATCCTCGTATTTATGACCCTTGCAAATCTGTAAAATAAAGCAGATTTGAAGTTTCAACTTAGTGACCACTTCGCTTTAATGACCATGTTGTCAATCCCAGTTGTGGTTGCTAAACAAGAACTACTTTTATGCAGATAAAATTCAATTGACTTTTGCAACTTGTTCCAATTGAATGGTCTATACGTATTTTCCATTTTAAAACAATCACATTTATTCGGGGGGGGGGGACTTCTATAGTTGTTAAGGAATAGTTTTGTTCTTTCCCTGTTTCAATCAGCATGCTGTAGGGTAATCCTCGAGTTACATCTATTTGTTAGCAACCATTCAAAATTACAGTGGCACTGAAAAAATGGAATTATGACCACTCTTCCAAGTTCCGACCATCACAGGACACCTGAAGTCATGTGAACACCATTTGGGCTGGTTCACATTTACAACCACCCTTGCTGCCTGCCCCTATTCCTTCAGCTGCCTTGCCATGTAAGAAGCCCTTGGCTGAGGAGCTGTTAGGAATCACCACCAGATATCCTGGCCATGCCTGAAGGAAGCCCCATAGAAACATCCCCACCTTGCTGTCCAGTGGAAGGATAGCCCTGGCCAGTAGTGATACATGACACAGAGGACTTGCCGCTTTGGCCACCTCCTTTCCCAGTAGGGCCCCAGCATCCAGTTGCCTGCCCTTCACACCTCCCTGTTGTACTGGCCTGCCTGCCCTCCTTAGTGTACTCCCTTCAGCCCACCTGCCTGGGATTCCCATCTTTTGCCACTTCGTGGTTACGTAAAGTCCTCGCTTAATGATCGGAACAGTCCTAGGATTGCAATGCCATCCTGGACAGCCAGGATTGCTGTCATTAAGCAATGCAGTTGTGTGACATCACAATTGATGACTGCATCATGAAGCAATGGAAATTCTCGAGGTCACTACCTGTATTTTCTTTTTTGTTAAACTGTTTCCTAAAAGCAATAAAGCTGATTTACAAACTGCCTCAATTCAAAATGTTTCTATCATTAAGTCACGGAATCTTGACATATCCAATGTGTAAGAAAATCAATTAGGTGTAAGAACCTGGCTCTAGATTTCACCTCTTTGCTTTGAATCCCACAGTTTTCAGCCATACATCATTAGCCCATATTCCACAGATGCAAAACTGATCTATTTTGCCTTCTACCCAAAAATCTATTGTTTTCAATGGAATGCGGATTTAATTTGAAAATGTGTAAAAAGTCTATGAAGCAAATAGTAACGTATTATGAAGAAGTTTTATCTACAAAAGTGAGACAGTACTTATAACTATCTTTGTACATTATTTTTTAAAATCTTGAATTTATTATGACATAATAGATATCACAAGGCACCCAAATGATTACCAACGCTTTCATATATATGAAGATATGTATAATATTTGAAAGCCACAATAACTTCTGCAATAATAAAGTTATTCAATAAATTGTTTTTTTTTTTCATTATTCAAGTAGAGTTTATACATCACAAAATGATAATTCGTACCTATTACAGGTAAACTGGTGTTTTATCTTTCCATTTGAAATTTTTTACAAAATTATGACTTTTTACAGAAGATGAAAAGTATTTGTAAAAATATCCAGCACTCAACAAAAATATGTTTTCTTTTTTAAAAAAGAAAATCATTAGAACAGCATTCTCTTTGATTTGTCAAGTAATTTCACCAGCTGAGTTCTATAAGGCAAGCTGGTTTTCGTAAAGGATTGGCATTTCCTCTAACTGGTTAAATACTGGAAACTGAAAAAGAATCTGTATATTTTTAAGTTTCAAAAGAACTGAAACATTTAAAGATTCAGAAGAGGTACTGAAACATGATTCCAAGAGGACTTTCCAAGTGATTGTCTCTTCGCTGAGTTTTCATGACATTTTACGCTATTTAAAAAAAATGGGAAAACATATCATTAATGCTCTTATATCACAGTATACATTTCTTTGATAAGATAGTCTAATCTATAATAATTAAACTTGTTACTGATGATTAACTGATTCCCAGGATGCAAGCATGTATACCATCCTGCTCAGTATTTTAGTCCGTGTCTTGAAAATGGAAGGTACTTTTTCCGCATATGACTTGACTTGCACCATGGAAATTAAAATATTTGGCATGGTTACTTAGCACTGTAATGAGCAATTATTTCCTTTTATTTTATTTAATTATAAAACTATTTTGTAATAAGATTCTCATCAAGATTAAAGATATTGTTTATGAGTCCTCTAAAATGGGGCTGGGAAGGACTGGCCTTCAGCTAGGCTTGAACTAAAAGGAGGGACTCATTCCAGGTCAATATATTAGCATGTTTCTCTGTTAGCACAGGGTGAAGTTAATTTACAATTACGTACCTGTTGCCTAAGAACAACCACATTCTCCATCTTCTTGGGAAACATTATGAACTGCAATGAGACTTTCACACTGTTCGCTTTCTTCAGATGTTCTATAAGACGTTACAGACTTGTGAGACTTTTAAAATTTATCCGTAATATTATGTTGTAAAGAACACATCTATATCAATGGGATAAATATTACTTTACATCTCCCATAAGAAATTGTTAAGGACAAGCAATACTGGACTTAACATTTTGTAGCAATCGGAGTAATACTGAGAGCTTCTCTTATACTAATTATTCAAGCAAGTTCATTTAAACGACTAAAAACAGAACTCTCTAGAATGATGTCAAGAAAAGAATGTTTCTTATAATAACACCTCAAAATACTACTGAAAATAATTATAATAATAAGATATTCAATGTTCAAATATTTAGGTCAAGTTAGAAGGAAAGCATATCATTCAGGCAGTTTTAAAACCAGATCCTGCAAAGTTCAGAAAGATCTCTATAAATTTCATTTTGAAATGATTTGTGGTAGAAACTAAGATACAGTAAAGACGTAGTTGAAAAATTAAGGGAAGAAAGATGAAGTGGATGGGAAAGAAGCAAATAAATCACCCTACCTCTGAATACGATGTTTTCGGCAGATAAATACAAAAACTCTTCTAATTCCCACCATTACTGGATCCCAGTTGTTGTAGTGACATAAAAGTGTTGCAATGAAAAAGGAAAAAAATACAGGGATTGCCCCTGCAAAAAATAACCAAGAAAACTGGACCTGAAATTAAAAGATCAATTTGATATTTTATCAAGAGTAAAAGTAGGTTAATGGAAAGACAAATATCCCACAAATTTGGGTCAGGAAAGAGACATTTGGAGGGCAGCAGGTAGCTGGAAGGAAAAGGGAACATGAGAGGAATATTTAGCCAGAATCTTAAGTAAATCTTGATTACAGTAATGTCTATCCAATCTGGAGTCTTAAGCTCCATCATGACATCAACCTTGGCTATGGTTGATGCTTGTAGTCACATGCTTCCCACTCCTCATGCCCTACTGTTAAACAGAGAGTTGAAACATTTTTCATTGTGTGTTTAATTTGAATTCACCCAACAATGGGTTTCTCTCAGCTCTCTGCAGTTGTATCAGAAGAAAGAAAGAGTATAGAAGCATATGGCTCTCTGGGGTGTTTCTCTAATGATGAAATATGGTGTTCATTCAAATGAAATCAAATGCGGAAAAGGATGAGGCTGCTTTCCACAAAAGGGGGGGGTCATACTTCTTTGGTGGTTCTTCTAAATTAGTTACACATTTCAAGTTCCTGAAACAGCTATGCAGATCTTTACAGCTAGAAATGTTTGATCTGTTTTGGCAATGGATGAACTTTACAGTTTGGATGGTTAAAGGGGTAGAAATGAATAAAGCCTGCAAGATAAAATAATCTCATACTTGGGATGAGAAACATTTCAGGAAAGGACACCAGATAAAGTGTGAATCCTTTAATTTAAGAGGCAGAACTATGTGAGTAACTTAGACATCAACCAAGGCTATAGCTGACAGTTAAAACTGACAGCTGCATTAAATGCTAATTTCACACTATCTATGAAATATCTCACTTTAGAGTGAAAGTGTCACAGTGAGGGCAAATTTTACCAACATTAGAAATAAATATGGAGAACAGATGATATTTCTACTGTTGCTAGTAAGATATTTCAGTGATTCAGTAACTGAGGCTTTTGCTTCTTTGCTTTCCTGGAAATTTCCTGTTGAAATTTTCTTTTTAAAAACACGTTCCTATCTAATAACTTTTATATGAAAATAATAGTCTAAATTCAGTAAAATCCCTCCTACTCTATAAGTACAGTATATATTAAATTTATGTTCTTGATGTAACAATTACTGGCTTAAATGAAAGCCAGCTGAGTGGCTTTGGGCCAATCACACTCTCTCTCGGCCCAACCCACCTTCACAGGGTCGTTGTAGAGAAAATAGGTGCGTTGGATATGCTTGCCACCTTGAGATATTTATATAAATAATAGGTAGGATAAAAATAAAATAAATAGTTAATAAATGAATGAATTAGCACAGCAGTCCCCAACCTTTGCAGCTTGGTGGCCCGGCCGGGGGGGAGGGAGAGGGGAACTGGGCCCCATGAGTGGTGGGTCGGCACATGTGAATGTGCAGCTCCACTCACACGAGAGAAGCTTTGAGGCACCACTCATACAAGTGGGGATGGACATACACCAGCCCACCACTCACCTGGCCCGGTTGCGAACAGGCCACAGTCCGGTAGTGGACCATGGCCCACAGGTTGGGGACCCCTGAATTAGCACACAACTGACTGCAACTACCATTACATCCTGCCTTATTCTGATTCCTGAAGCAAGACACCACAAGGGGGAGATAACACTCTATTTAGTAAAATAATTCATTTGGGGAACTTACAATGAACACTATGGGCATCTATCTGAGGCTTTCTGAAAACAGTGGATTTGTGTTGTAGTGTTTTTGTTGCTTGCAAACACCTGTGCTTTATATGAATGGGGAGTCAATTTGGTGTAGTAGTTAATATGCCAGTTTGGAAAATGGGAGACTGTGAGTTCTAGGCTTCTTTTAAACATGAAAACTGACAGGGTCACTTCAGGCCAGTCACTCACTCACAGCCCAAATCACTTTACAGGACTGTTGTGAGAGAAAATAGGAGGCAGGATTATTAAGTATGTTCACTGCCTCAAATTATATATAAAAGGATAGGATAAAATAATAACAAGAACAGCAACAACAGCATTAAAAGCTTTTGATGGGCAAAATCCTATTGTCTACAATTAAATACATTTATTTTTGCAACAGCATTAAAACTCTTTTTTGTTCATGAAGATTCCATTAGGAATTTTTAAGATTTTCTTAAATTTAAAATATAAGAAAGTTAATTTGGTTTTTAATTTTAAAAAATTTGAATTTTAAAAATTTCTACTGGAACTTTCTGTAATATTTACCACTGCCTTTAATACAATTTGAATTACCTTTTGCATGCATATGTCAGCAATTATGGACAGAGGTATTGTAAGGCTCAGGGCAAGTGTTCCTATCAATGATGAGGTAAGAAAGCAGCCCCTGGAAAAATGTTAAAATACAAAGACTTAAAAAAAAATAGAGGCACAGAAACAAATTTCACAAGTGTATACCAGAGTTTTGCAGAATTTGTAGGTACTTGGTCTAGTTGTACTTAGGAAACTCATAATTTCCGTCTTACTTTATTGATCAGATTTCTCTAGTCCTACCATGTATTTCTGTTTAACAACTTTATTTGCATATCATATATGTTAATTTGCTACACATGTGTCATATCAGGGCTTAGTGCAGTGTTTCTCAACCTTGACAATTTTAAGGCATGTGGACTTCAACTCCCAGAATTCCACAGCCAGCAATGCTGGCTGTGGAATTCTGGGAGTTGAAATCCACATGCCTTAAAATTGTCAAGGTTGAGAAACACTGGCTTAGTGCAACCTGTCAAAGAAGTCAAAGGGTAACTACCTCCACCGCTAAACCTCAAGATTTTCAGATGTAGTTAATGAAGTCTAATGTTACGCATCTAGAATAACTGATTCCAAAAAGTGTACTTGCTATCTGTAATTGCTGCTAACATACACTGACATGTTTCAAAGAGGCACTCCTCATTTAGCAACCACAATTGGGACCAGCAACTTAGTTGTTAAGTAAAGTGGTCACTAAGTGAAACTGCAACTGTGCTTATGACCTTATTTCAGCTTTCCTTTGATTTACAGATTGGCAAGGGTCATAAATGAGAGGACTGGCCACAAAGTTATTTTTTCAAAACGACGAGTGGTTGCTAAATGAGGCAGTTGTTAAACAAGAACTACATCTGTCTGTCTCTGTCTGTCTGTCGGTCGGTCGGTCACTCGGTCTATCTATCTCATTTGGCTCTGAAAAATTTCTTCAGACTCAGGCTAAGGTATTATGCCAAAGATATATTGTTCTTATCTTTATAGCAATTCATATACCGGTATAAAGATTTTCACCATTTACTGATTGAATGACAATCTGGTGAAAGACTAAGTCATCTACATGCAGAGATAGCAACACTTACACAGCCTTATCCTCCAAATGTGAATATCCATAATTTGATTTTAAGGAATCAATTCAAACTAATTAGAAAATGTTTGTAAGATATGTCTAGACATAATGGTTCTGTTTAAAAAACATGCACATGCAGATAGAACTTTGCTCTTTCAATTATGGATAAACTTCTCCTTCTCTTCTGTTGCCATTCATCTATGGCCAGCTATCTTCTCCAAGCAAAGAATTGGCAATAAAGTTGCACCTGCTATTATTAAGTTGATGTAATTTGGCTTCATTTGTGGTGTCCCTATAGCCTTAGATTTGTTGAGAAATGCACAAATTTCAAAACCGTACACTAGCATTCTAGGGTCAATCCCAAACAATCACCTGAAATTAATATCCACTAAGTCTGGACAAGCAGCCACATGTCATATCATGTCTTATGTTGTGATGGCTACTGAAACCATTACAATACACATTGTATTAGTAGTACATTAATATAGTTTGATGTGCTAACTCAGCCTTAATATCTTGTTAACCAAATTGTGGCCATAATTTGTGGGTCCAACTGTAAAGGCTTTTTAAAACATGATGTACGTACCATGATATGTAAAACCACATTCTAGCTTTTAATATTTAATAAGCAGCATTGGTCTGGGGGGATGGCAACAGAGGATGAAGGGAATGATGCTCTTCAATACACAGTATTGTGTCATAATCAATACTTGGTAAAGACAGCAGTCTCCAAAACATACATTATGGAAAAAACAATTTCATCTGTTGGCCTTATAGTATATAGATTGTTGTTAAGAAACCTAATAATCAAAGCAACAAACATACCACAACCAGAGGAATTCAGACAGGACAGTTCCAACAAGGCCATTAATGACTATGCACATTAGGGTTAATTTATTGGGAAATTCAAAGACCTCAAATCCAGTATAATGGAGTAGGAAGAAGCCTGGCCAAAGCAACAGCAAGTTAAACAAGCCAACAAAACCTGCAGGAACAGAATAAACAAACAGATCACATAACAAAGGGTTAGTCTTACATCGCAAAGTATACTTTGCAGAACCTAAATTATCAAGTTCAAGATTCAATCCTAAATTGAAAAAAAGATGTCTTAAAATTCGTTCTTACCAAAAAACATTGGAATATCGAGTTTATCTTCTCTGTCAACTTTTCGTTTTATCATAACTATATAGATTGCATACAGCATAGCTCCCATCAGAGACCAGAGAGATCCTGTAAATAAGAAAGCAAGGCATTGCCACTGGATTAATTAAATGTAATCTATTTGTTTAACAGGCTATTAAAGGTATTTTTATTCAAATAAATAATTTATGCAACATTAGAAAAATGGTAGGATCCTGCAGCAAATTATTTCACATTTTTTAAAAAAAAAACCGCAATTCTTTCAAAATGAATACTCTTCTATATACATTTATTTATTCAGAGGCATTTTTGCCTCTTACTCCTCATAATGGCATACAAATATCACTATAGATTCAGCTATTACAATTAACTTTCTACTCTTTATGTATTTTTGTCATTTTTTTTGAATAAAAACATAAAGCAATATTCCTCAAGCACTTCAAGTTATTGTGAAGAATTAAAAAAAATACCTATTGTATCTCTTCCTGCGGATTTCTCAGATCCAGACAAATTCACAAGAACAACACCTCCAATGCTATTTTAGAAAGAAAGCATTATATTCTAGTTAATTTAGTCAAACAGTTTGTATGGAAAGAGTTAACAATAAAGAGTGTTTATAATTGCCTTAATACCACGTATTGTTGTATTTCAATGGTCCTCGAAATTATGTATAATTTACATGGACTAAATAGCGAATTTTCTTAACATTACGGAAAAAAGAGTATTTTAAAGGAAAAAGAACAACATTTCTTTGCAAGTATAATGACCTGGAGAAGTAGAAAGGAAGATTATAGATTAGCAGAAGTCATCCCCAAGCACAGCACGTCAAGACAAGAAGAAAAGGGGGGGGGGGGATGAGATGAATATTTCCCTATAAATAACAAACTAGGCTTGGGAATAGCCACTTCTCAGGGGGTGAGTTCATACACCATGTGAAACTAATTATGGCTTATTTGAATAGACCATCAATCCATATACCATCAGTGATAAATCATGGTTTACGAACCAAATGACTATACATTTAAGAGTTGACGGCTGAGCTCGGTTGCTCTGATTCTGTTTCCATGTGCCACAGAGGACATGGCACTAGTATTTATATTGGGACAGGTTTTTTTTCCTGCTTTGGGGAAAAAATTAAAGTCGAACATAGAAACCTTACAGAAGCACAATGGGTGCGCCTCATTATTAAGGCGATCACTTTTTTCCATAGTGCTCTCTAGGAGGAGTCAAGCGCACACAAAGCAAGCTGTGCAAAAGTTTTGAAGGAGTGTTTCCCTTCCATGAAGGTCCAAGCGCCACACTCCCAACCAGGACCTGCTTTACAAATCAATGTGGCCCTAAAAACCAAGTGAAAAAAAAAAAAACTACCACGTTGCTTCCCTCTGCTCCGCTTTGCGGATTTGCCTCACTGCAGTGTTTGCAGAGGTGACTCCTCCAGCTTTGATCAGCCTTTGCAAAGCTGCAAGAGTCATACTGCAAAGAGGAAAACACCCAGGTCACACAGAGTGCCTCACTGAAGAAAATTGCACAGACATTTTGCTTCCATGAAGAGGATCACATCACCTGCATGGCAGGAGGCTCTTCACAGAACTTTGCCCAGCGTAATCTAGAATAAGGGGTAACGGATATATCTTTTCCCTCACCACTTCTGATAGGTGCCCATCAGGAGGTTTAGTGCAAATATGGGTGAAATAGAGTAAGGTGGAGCATTCATGTTTGCAAAGTTTCAAATTCCTCTACGATTTCAACTCTTTTTGATTTGCTAGAGATTACTGTCTGCAATAAATGAATGCCTGGGATGATTGGTGGGAGGGGATAACATTAAGCAATGTGAACGTGTTATGGTGCACAAACAAGCCTAGGATTATGAACTCTGCTCTTCTACATTCCTCTTCTGGTGAGATCACATCGCTTTTGCTCCCTGGGACTGGATTCACAGCCCATTTTAAATCAATCCCATGATTTAATTGTAGAGAGTATGTAATCAATGTATTACATGATTAAATGTAATCATTACATTAAATCAATGTAGCCCTCAACTTACGAATACAACTGAGACCACTGTTAAGCAAGGCAGTTGTTAAGTGAGCTTTGCCCCATTTTATGTCCTTCTTTGCCACAGTTGTTAAGCGAACCACTGCAGTTGGTAAGTGAATCATGTGGTGGTTGAGCAAATCCAGCTTCCCCCATTTGCTTTGCTTGTTAGAAGCCAGCTGGAAAGGTTACTAATGGTGATCACATGACCCCGGGATGCTGCAACCATCGTAAATGCATGCCGGTTGCCAAGTACCTGAATTCTGATCACATGACCATGGGGATGCTGCAACAGTTGTATGTGTGAAAACCAGTCATAAGTCACTATTTCAGTGCCGTTGTAACTTCAAAAATCAATAAATCAATGGTTGTTAAGTGGAGGTCTACCTCTATATTTATCATTGTTGAAATTAGATCACTGTTGTTTTTCCAACAAGTCACAGGTTTTTCACATTAAACCGAAATTGATGAGCCAGATATGAGATCCTAGCCCAGCCTACCCCTGTCCTAGCCAGTATAGCTAGCTTAAAACAAACCATGCTTAGAGTGATGTGCATGAATATGATTCCAACCAACAAAAAGAATATGATTCCAACCAACAAAAATTTACATAGGTATCCAAATCATGGCCTTGTTTGCACAGTATGGTTTACAGATAGTCCTTGCTTACTGTTCACTCATTCAATGACTCTTCAAAGTTACGACAGCACTGAAAAAGATTTATAACAGGTCCTTGAAGTTGTGGCAAATCTCAGTATCCCCATAATTACAAGACTCCAAGTCAGGCCCTTGGCAATGGGTGCGCATTTACAACTATCAGTCTCCCATGGTCATATATCACCATTTGTAGCCTTCAAGGCCAGCATCTGACAAGCAAAATCAGTGGGGAAGCCGGCAGGAAGTCACAAGTCACGGTCATGTGACATCATTCTGAGGGTGATTTGCTTACCAGCTACAGCTGGAACTAACATAAATTGGCATGGTCACTTGATCTTTCACTTTGCATCCATATTGCTTAGCAACAGAGTTGTCAGTCACAATTGCGGTTAGTAAGTGAAGACTACTTGTATTTGGTTTTAATTTGTGTATTGTATGAATCCAGCCACCATAGTTTATTCCATAAAACATGGTTAGTAAATATGAAACCATAGTTTAATATCACATGCGAACTTAACCTTCACAAAATTATCTGCTTTAAGAAGTTCACTTGGTGATATTAAACTAACAAAACTCAGATGGCTCATAATGCAGGTGAGACACGGCCCCTTTAGCAGGGCAGTGGCAATACAGAAGCAGTATTTCTAGCACATTCTGTAAATTACTTTCAATAATTTTTCATGTAGCTGTATACAACTAGCTGTATCTAAAAATAGTAACAAAATCTCCACTACTAAATCCAACTATCTAGAAGAACATAAGAAAACTCAAGCCTGTTGGGGAAAAGAAAATTGAAGATTAAGGAGTCTATATTCCTACCTTAAAATGACAGCTAACAATTTTGAGAGGGTAAATCTATCTCCGCTATTACTTGGAAATACTGCAGCAAGGATTACGGTAAATAATCCTGTGAAAACAACAAAAGAATACTCTGAAAACATAATAATCAAAAGATAATGGTTAGATCCAGATTAAGTTAATATTGGGCCTAAGTGAAATTACAATGTAAAATCTGTTACAACAAACATATTATATTAGATTTCTTAGTCATTTTATTTTATTAGAACAAAATACTAGTAGCATTTCTTTAAGTAAAGTTAAAATAACAATACTTTTTTTAAAATGGTATGTCTCCGATTCATATATATTTGTTGCAGAAAGAAATGAAATGAAGTTAACTTTTACTTAACAAAGCTTTATTATTTTTATTTATCTCATTTACAAATGTTGGCTTTTGGAAAAGTATGAAAACTATAGTCTTTTACAATACTTTTTGGAGACTGAGTGACACCTGGAACTGGATTTGATTTGTTAATTGTTTCACTACTAACTCTGAACACTTTAACTGTTAATTATTTAATTGCTTTCTATTTACTGACTTTATTTTGATCTGCTGATTTTGTAGACCTTTGGCTTTATTTTGCTGTATACCACCAGGAGGTGATTACAGTTTAGCAGCATATAAATCTTACACTGTGGTAAAATGGGCAGCCAATACATTTGATAAACAAACAAACAAAATACTAATATATTCAAATTTATGCAAAAATGTTTTCTTAATACTGTATGTTGCCCTGTTCCTTTTTCTTATGTCCCAACGCTTATTCAGCAAAAGCAAATATTGCAGAAATTGTAATAATCACATAGACACACGCCTTTACCGTTACTGCCATCTCAATATGGGAATCATTGCTCAGTAATAATCAGTGTGGCTTTTAAACAATCCCACTGATGAGCTGCTGAATAAACCTCTAGACCAAGGGTGTCAAACTCGCAACGTCACGTGACGTGTTGTGACATATCGCATCTTTTTTTCCCATTGTCGGAAATGGGGTGGGCGCGGTTTCGGCATGACACATCCAGCCCACAGGCCAGCAGTTTGACACCCCTGCTCTATAGGTCGGCTTGTTGAATCTGAACTCTTAATAATGACATGGGCTACCTCACCCCATGGCTGTCTTTTTTCAAAAAAAAGAAACCCTTCAACATCACTCTCCCCCTCATTAGAAGTGATGCGGAATAGATAACTGTATTTTCTTAAATATGCAAAGAGGCCATTTGAATGAAGTATGACAACAGTTTTAGAATATATCTTTATTTCTTACCAGAGGTTGATGACAGAATGTTAACTATCGCCACTTGAGTGTCTGAAAGTGCTTCTTGATAAGAGAAATTTGCCAAGAACCACTAGAACATGAAACAGTAGATATTAGCATAGCATTCAATTTCTTGTTTGAGTAACTGCTTTGAAAGTCAGAAAAAAGCCTTGCAAAACATTTAAAAAGATTGCTTAAATGATCTACATTCAGAGCATAGCAAGAGCATACACACAATAAAATTGACCTGCATTAAGAAAAAGGAGAAGCTGAATTTACTGTAAACTACTCTTCTGATCCCAGAATGAAACCCTACAGAAAGGTTAAGTCTATCTATTCTGATAGGACTTCTTCCTGTTCCAAGAAGGAAACCCTTCTTCAGTCACTTTAGAGCACTGGCTTCAACTGTTTGTAATAAAACTTTTTTTTGAACTACATAATCCCTGCAACTGCTTGCAACTGACAAGAGGAATGTAGACATGTAGGAAAGGACAATATCCATCAGTTATCACATCCTGATAGTAAACAGTACACTGAGGAATCTGACTTCCAGTTGCTTATACTGATTCCTGTCCCTGATTGCAAGGTGGGAAGGCTGAATCCATCTTTTAGGAATCTGGAGAATAATTTGCAGTTAAGCTCCACAACACTTTCCTCACCAAAAACGGAGTGGAGAACGAAAGTGTATACTGCAGCAGTATTCTTAGGGAGGGAGAGTAAAAATTAAAGCACCTTCTTTAAAACCATGTGACCAAACGTAGCATCTGCTGAGGCAAACTGGTCTGTCTGGTAATGTCTAATGAATGTAGACAATTTCATGCATGCAGTTTGCTTACAGATGTCTATTAGCGAGACTACTTTGATGATATAGCTGCAATGCTAGAAGGAAGCTGTTTCTTACTGTCAGAATATTTCAACACAATGCATTCAAGCTGACAGTGAATTGTGCAATTCTCAAATTATCTCTTTTGTAAGAAAGGAAAAGATTACTGGCCTCCTGAACCCCACGGGAGCATTTCAAATATATTATTAGGACTCTTGACTGATAATGTGCTATCAAGTTGTGTCAATTTATAGTGACTACATTGGTTAAGTTTTCTACAAGAACTGTTCTCAACCTTTTGGGACTCTTAATGGTGTATTTGATGCTGTCATAATCAAGTCCATCACTTTGCTGCTGTCATCCTCTTCTTCTCTTTTCTTCCAATTTCCCCAGCATTATAGACTTATCACAGGAAACAATAACAATTCCCATAATATCCCAATAGAGCAAGGTTGTCAAACTGCCGGCCCACGGGACGGATGTGTAACACCAAAACCACGCTCACCCATTGCCGGCAATGGGGAAAAATTGACAATATGTCGCGACACATCACGTGACGGCGTGAGTTTGACACCTGTGCAATAGAGGATAAACACAGGGTAGGCTTGGATCTTTGAAGAAGTGGGGTATCTGAATGTGGCAAGACAGAGATGTCATTTGCTGAACAGAACATAAGGTAAATTACTTGTCTACACCAAAGGCCCCCAACCTTTTGGGCACCAGGGACCAGTTCCGTGGAGAGAGGGTGTTTTGCGGACCAAAGGGGGCGTGGTTTCATGTGCTGCCTGCATCCCACAGATCGGGGCTTTGCTTGCTTGTGCGGACCGGTTGCTGGCATGCCGCGGCCCGGTACTGGTCCACAGACTGTGGGTTGGGGACCCCTGGTCTACACAATACATTTGTACCCTCATGCTAGAAACTCCAGAATCTCATCATTAGTGCACCAAATCACTTGGTAGACATAGATGGTGCCTGAGCATCTGGATATTAAGATGGATTCCACTGCCAAACCTGAAAAGCTGATAATGAATTGGGCCTTGACACATTTGGTGTCCTTTGTATTTCTAGGAAAAGATCTGTCATCCATATATTCAGTCCTTTGCTTTATTTTAATGTTGTGTACTTTCTGTGCTCTGTAGAATCCATGAGTGTTTCATTTTCCTCTTCTTGGGAAAATAATAATCGAAAACATTTGATGATCTTGAGGAATTCAGGTTGCCAAGCTTCCCTTTCTTCTAGCTTCTCTGAAGAGATGTCATGAGCATATTTAGTGCTGTGTAAAATTCATGAAAATTACCCATGGGAATGTTGGTGTTGGCCATTTCTACGTAGATATATTGGACCCAACAGAAATCTGTCTTCAGGGTCCTAAGCATTACCGACCCTAAAAACTGGCTTGTTTCTCCTATGATTTATCAGGGTTCACTTCCTATTCCTCTGACACACTGTCTAAAGTTTCTCAATTCTTCTGTCACTAACTTAACAATGTTACAAGGAATATTGAATCGCGTGTTTTTACTGCTGCTGCCAGCTTTTCTTGGTGTTATGAGGCTTCTAGCTACCATCGAGGTCACTGCTGCTGGCACTTAGTCCAGATCCATCTGCCAAAAGATCATCTTTGTAAGTGTCTCCTGGTGACATTTAAAATTGCTGCAATTGATGCTGCCCAATTCCTTGTTTGATGGGAGGATGGAAGAGGGTCACTGCAGTTGGTGTTATCTGGTTCTTCAGGCTCTGCTTACTTCTGTTCCTCTTTGTTCACAATGCTGCAGGAGTTGGAGAGGGGCTGAAGACCTCTTTGCTTCTTTCATTTCCCTAAGCATTTCAAGGCCTTCCTGTTGTTTGCCTTAAAGAACACGGGGAGATCTTTCACATCACCCCAGAGCTCTGTATTTTCCTGGATGCCATCACTACTAGTATGCTTCCTGCACTTAGCTAGCAGGCCAATTAGGTACCTGCATGATTATACTGCCATGCACTCAGTTGCAGTGGTCCTCACCACCTCTTATAGCAGCTTCAAAGACTTCCTTCCTTCCTTCCTTCCTTCCTTCCTTCCTTCCTTCCTTCCTTCCTTCCTTCCTTCCTCTCTCTCCTCCCCCACCCCCAAGCCACAGATTGAAACTGAGCGGAAAAGCCATTTGCTTCTTCTAAGCATTTGCTAGAAAAATGGAAAGGGGTTCTTTTATGGGTTTTTTTTAAACTAGAAGAGGTAGAATAAAGCCTTTTTGATCAACTTCCTCTTCAATGATTTAGAAAGAACGGATTAGGCAATTATAACACAAACAGAAATATCTGGCTAAGCTTCCCTGCCTCGAGTATATCTGTTGACACCAGTCTTGGAACCTCTAGTCTCTCTTCCCTTTTGTAACTTGCTTTGAAATACATTTTTAAAAAAATAATAGGAAACTAGCACATGATTAGCAAAGCACCAGTCTCCAACATCATATCCACTTGCATGTATACTTATTAGCCCTAAAGGGTCCTGAGAAAATAGCCATCCTTTGAAAATAATAACAAGTAGCTGGCTGCAGCCCATTGTTTTATTTGCTAGTGGTGCTGACCTGCTCAGAAAAAAATGACAAAGGGAAGGAGAAGTAGCAATAAAAGAGAATATAAGTAGCTCAGGAAGTAATCCTGAACTTGAGGATTCTTTGGTACTGAGTTTGTTTGTTTGCTTGGAGCTACTAGGTAACATCATCAGTGCTAGTAAATGAGGGTTTGCTCCCTCCTTATAAAAGAAAGCTGAGGACTGTATAGGTTGGAAACATTCAGAAGAGGCCTTCATCCTGCGGTGGATAGACAACAATGGCTAAAATAATGGTGATGATGATGATATAGTATATGCTGTTTATATACAGTAACTAAAGCATCCAAAACATCTTATATAAACCAAAAGACCCAGTAGCCCAAGAAGTAAAAACCAGGACGCATCTACAACATACAGTATAAGGATTGTAACAGCCACTATGTAGGATAGTTAGGCAGAAAACTAACAGAACAGAGCCATGAACACCAGCTAGCAGCCAGAAGATATGATGAAAACTCCTTAATCTCCCAACCCACGGATAGATTCAACTGTACTTTCAACTTGGAAACTGTGAGCATCCTAGACCAAGATAAATCCATAAATATTATAGAATCCCTGGAAACTTGGCATCAAACAAATCAACCAACAATAGACACATAGAGGTAAACCACGTTTACACATCATTCAAAACAGAGAATAAAAAAAGCTAAGAAGAAACCACTCCATCAACCAATACCCAAGAAGGGATTAAATCGGACAAACAATCATGCAGAAAACAATACCCTAGTCAAGGAAATACCAAGAAGAAAACAACACCCCCACCAACATTAACAGGGCAAGCTACTGCATATGAACATGGAGAAAACCTCATATTCACTAACATGGATAATGACATTAGTCTGCAAGCAAACAACCAAACTCAGAGAACATTACGGAGAGGTGATAATTAGGAGGTACAGCGGCTAGAAGTGGGTGGCAAGTAGCTTTACGCTATATCACTATGTTATTTTTTTCCCCATTTGTGAATGGGGAAAATTTCCTCCTGCCTCCAGAATAGTTTATGAAAATACTAACAATATGTATTATACATGGCTGCAAATGCCTGCTGTAAAATAATAGTAATTGTAAATATACATCTAGATTAGACAGCTATTTTGCTATATTTTTGTGTATGAAATGCTCTGAATGATAGCAATCATAAACTGACTGGAACATGAAAATGCCAACATGTTGACTTCAAATCAGACAAAGTTAATTACATATTCATAAAACCATTCAGTTAAAGTCCAATTAATGAAGTTCAAACCTTTGTAACAAATAGGACAATCATGGCTAATTTGATAGAAATTAACTTGTTTCCTGGATTAAAGCCACTAAAAGAGGAAATGTAACTGCTGGAAAGTTTAATTTTTCAAGAACTGGGAAAAAACACATTTCCTTTTTCCAAATTGCTGAACAAATTTTCTGACATCAGAGTGAATTTACAGGCAACTTAAATTTGCAGATATATATCTCAATGCTAGAATATAACTGCTGCTAACATCGGATGTTTTGCTTTGATATATATACATTTTGTGATGACTGAAATTAATGGAATGTACGTACATATCAATGACAAATACATTCTAAGATCTAGAAATGCACTACTTCCCGACTCAAAATGCCATGTGAGGATTAATGAATCTAGAACAGTTTTGGAAAATTAACCATGGAATTTTGTCATTTTTATACTAATGGAGGCAAGGAAAATATATCTCCAAGTTTTGATGTCTGATGGATGATAGGAAATTTGAGATAACAGAATTACAAATGAATAACAAATACTCATTAAAGTGTTTGTTTGAGGGAATTACTGCAAGAAGAGTGAAAACATAAAATATAGATATCTTTTCCCACAATGAATAGAAGCTTTTGCTCATTAAAATTGTCAGATCCATTAATTGTCTTTAAATCAATTAGGGGATAACTCAAAATTATGCAGTTCCCTAAATGATATGAACAAGGTTAAATAGTTGATACCCCAAATGATTTATCTTCTATTAAGCAAATATACCAGAGTTAAAAGACTCAATTTATACCCTGCAATAATTAAAAATAGATGACGTACCACAAAGCAAAAGAAAAAGCTGATTTTGGCTACTTGAGGTGCAGTAAGCTTCCCTACAGCTTTTAATATTGAATCCTGCTCTTTAACTGTTGGGTAAGACATACGAGACAGCTTTGCTTCCAGTGCATGATTTGCTGGGAGTTGTCGAATCTCCATAATGTTACTGAATCTTACACGTGGTTTTTTGGGAGCTTTAGGTAGGGAAAAAAATGGTGCAGGTCATTTTGTGTATTAGACTGAAACAGAAAAACAATCAGCAAGATAAGGTTCCTCCCCATGTTTAAAGGCTTATATCAGCAGCATGAATTGATTATTATACAGACAAGAGAAGCTGGGACTGCAGATTTTACTGTAGGAGATTTTGATTTGTACCAATTGTATTTATTTAAAGAACAAGTCGGAATTCCTTAATTTAGAATAACTGATTTGCTTTCAACAAGAATGTATTTTTCATGAATTCGGTATTTAAAATCTGATTCATGCATTTAACATTGTACCTTTGGTTTTAAGAATGGCATGGTTTTTACACCATCTTGTGGTTAATTCAGCCAAAGACCTACATAACTCACTAGGTATACCAAATGTGAAAAATATTCTTTCTAGTTCTAGATTCTTATTTTCTAAAGAAATAGGAATAGGACAACTAAACATCTTTTAATTTCATGCACAGTATATATTCAAATTTAATTCCTCTAAGACAGATAAATTAAAATAACACCATATTGCACATGTCCTGTTATTTAACAGCGCTAACTTTGCATAAACAAAATATTATTTGTGTAATAAATACAAACTGAATTGTATAAATCTATAGCTTGCTTTTCCATCGGAAGTATTTTGAATGGCTAGCATTGTACGATAGTAAATGATGGTATTCTCAGTGCTAAGTAATTTTATGCAAAATATTCTGAATTCAAACCATTTCAGATTAGAAATGTTTCATTTGAAATCAAAACAAGTTATCTTGCATATGAAACCATCATTTGCAACAGGCATCACAGATCATTCTAGAAATGTTTCAACCTCAGAATAATTGTTTTGTATTCAAAATAATCTGTGAACGCAAACATTTCCAAAATGCTGAAAATTGCTCATTTGACCTTTAACCTGAAATGGATTATTTCAATTCAACATGGTCTGATTTTAAATCTTTTATATACTCTAGTCCTAAACAACTTCAGAATTACTGTTTCTTCTTACGATTTCACTCACATTTCATTGAAACTTGAGATGTTCCATTTAGGAATTATTTTGCATATTTCCTATTTCGTGAATGGGATTATCAATCACAATTTCATCATTTACCTTGTGCAAAAACTAATGTGATTTGACTATTTGATTAATAAATCTATGTTTGGTTAAAGCCATCATTTGATTTTTGAATTTATAAAAGCTTTTTCAGTTTACATTTATAATATATATATAGGTACATAAAATATTTATCTAAAAGACAAAAGCCATCAACTCTGAATTTTCGTACTTCTAGCATTATGTGGACATGGGCGATAAAAAACATTCTGAAATATGTACTTACTTTTTTCAGCATCACTGTTAATGCTGCTACTTTTTTCACTTGGCAAATCATGAAACTTTACAGGAACATACAAAGGTTCACTCTGAAATGCAACATAACCAATTCCCAGTCATGTAACACAGTTATCAAAACAAAATCAAGAACTCTGGGCAACAAAAAGGTACTCAACACTATACAGAACTAAACAGAATTAAAATCCCACTGCTTAGATCAGCTGTTTATTTGGCATACCCAGAATTTCAAGCACAACCTTCTCATTTCTATACGAGGCCCTAGGCAATCCTCCTCCAAGCAAAAATATAACCTCATGTTCTTCATGTAAATTGATAAACTTCCCGGTATGCACAGTTCCATTTTATGACCGCGCAACTGACTATTTAACCTTGATATGAATTTATATTTTTAGAAATAAGAGAAATTTATTTTGGTACAATAACAACAAATTGGTCCCTAATTATAAAGACTGTAGTCACATGTGCCTAGGCCACCTAGTATACAATGTGACCCTCAAATTCCAATTGGTTTTGCATCCCTGCAAATATATCTCCTTTCTGGATTTTCAGACATAGTTCAACAGGGATATGATAATTAGTATGGATTTCAGTGCAAGACAATCCAAAAACAAACTATTCTCCAAAGCACCTGAAGGCAGGACAAGAAGCAAGGGATGGAAACTAACCAAAGAGAGAAGCAACCTAGAACTAAGGAGACATTTCCTGACAGTTAGAACAATTAACCAGTGGAACAACCTGCCTCCAGAAGCGGTGAATGCTCCAACACTGGAAGTTTTTAAGAAGAAAGTGGACAACCTTTTGTCTGAAATGGTATAGGGTTTCCTGCCTGAGCAGGGGGTTGGACTAGATGACCTCCAAGGTCCCTTCCATTTTTTTATATTATTATTATTATTACTATTACTATTATTATTATTATTATTATTATTATTATTATTATTATTATTATTATTAAAACAAAACCTTTCCTATTGAATTTTCACTTTGATGGTATTGGTTGAGAGAGGAACAGCTAACTATATAAAAACTGCCATTCAATAAAGGCCCTGTAATCTTCCCAGCAAAGTTTTTCAGAAGTGGTTTGGCATTGCCTCCTTCCTAGAGCTGAGATAAAGTGACTGGCCCAAGGTCACCCCGCTGACTTTGTGCCCCAGGTGGAAATAGAACTCACAAAGTCTTGGTTTCTAGTCTGATGTCTTAACCACTACACAACAACCAAAATAGCTTTATGCAAACAAATAACTGAAGAAAGCTTGAACTATAAGACTTATTTCCCAAAGTCAAATATAAAATACCTTTGCAAATCAGAAATATTTGTTACTATGGTTCTCTTCATCATGTTTAATCAGCTTTTGTTTAAACCTACAAAATATCTTTTTTGGATCTATTTTTATTTTAGTATTAATTTGGAAAAAAAATGAATAAATATTGCCATACAGCAATACAATGCTTAAATGAGAAAACTTACCAAAGAACTATTCACAGTATTGTCAGTTGTACAAGTGGCAAAATAACTTTCAGCATCTGCAAACTAAGCAGAAATTTGACACCTCAGATTCTATTAATATATATCTAGTGCTTTGATTTTAAAAAGTATGTTTAAGTTAGAGAATATTATCGTCATC